GTTTTTAAGACTGTAAAATACTTCCATGACGTCACAGTAGGCGGAAGTCATTGCTCTCACACCCACTGAATGGCAAAAAAACCGAGGTGGCGTTAGCGTTCAGCTTGAATACACCAAAAAACATCTAAAATGGTAAAGAGTTGTCTTGTGATTGAAATAGGCGCTGTATTTTTACAGACTGCCGAAAAACTAAACAGTATTGGATGTGAATCGGTTACATATGGCCTAATCATCAAAATGAAAAGAAATAAATGCTTGAAATATATTACTCTGTGTAATAAATCTATATGATCTATTGGTTTCACTTTTTAAGTTATTACTGAAATAAATAAACTTTTTGTTGATATTCTATTTTATTGATACTGTATGCACCTGTGCAGCTATTCATATGATAGCAAAAGGATATAATGCCACGGTTGTTACTGGGTCAAGAGATTGCGTGAAAAACTCCCATAAACAAAAGCACATGCCTGTGTTCTGTTTACACTGATTGAAGCTTCAACCTTTTATTTTGTAATGTGAGAGAGTTTTCACTGAGGAAATGCGATATAAAAATATATCTTTTCTTATGGATAAGTGTGGATTCGGGTAAGCAGTGACTTTGTAAATTGCAAATATTACTTGTTTTATAGCTTTGATTGCTAGTGTAAAACGTCTTTATAAACATATGCAAATTGTTGGTAACTAGGCTGTTCCTTTTGCGTTATTCACTAGCTTTGTGAGGCTTTTTTGCATGTATAAGAGTGTTTACATGTAAACACTCCATTATTTAACTTATGTTTCTCAAGTACATGTTGTAAAATAGCTTAAATATTATGGATTGTATTTCCTTAAAATAAGATGTTTTACTTAAAATATTAACTTTTGCACTAAAACCTCGTATAATTCACACAAATGTCGTAACTTACGTGCTCTCTGTTTTTTTCAAAAACGGAAGAGGCGAAGGTGCGACGCAAAATTGAAAAATAAAAGCAGTGCGGGGGGCATGTTTCCCAAAAGCACAGTTGCTCATTAATTAAGTTTGTGACTTACACATTTGAAACCATGAAACTGAATGATTTCTCCTCTCCCTGTGTGTCTGCACCCTGCTCCCACCCCCCTCACTCACAAGTACTGCATGCAGCGACAATATTAAGACAGACTCAGAGGCAAGCTAGCCCAGAGAAGCTGGGGGCTGTTCCACGAAGTGAGCTAACCTCAAAAGCCAGGCTTATTTCGACAATCCCGGCTTAATTTTTCCAAATTCGGTTTCACGAACGAGGCTAACCTGAAGCTCCGCTTAGTTACTATGTCAACATATGCTGTGAAGCTTAGCTTAGCTTGATGAATATGATTGGACAAGCCATGTGATGTCACAGCACAACATTCTGCGGGGCTGGGATTATTCTGCTGCTGTTCTCTCCCTCTCTCACACACATCGACCCTCCAATATAAAATTATTACAGATTACATGCAGGCCATTCCAATTACTCAGAAAGTATAAAATGACAAGGAGTGCATTGAAAGCTTTTACATAAATAACCATGGCGTGCCCGTTTATTCATAATCCAGTTGATGAGGGAGCGCGGCTCATTCATAGAGCTTTAAGGCTACAGGTTCCACAAGTACTTCGGCCCAGGATAGATCCGTTGCATTTTCCAGGTGATTATTTGTACGAGCGCTTTAGATTTAGGAGATGCAGTATTACTATTTGTGTCAGTTATTGGAACCTTACTTTTCTAAGAACACACGTCGCTCTAAAGCCCGAAAGGGATACACAGTCTATGTGTATCGCTTTGCGTTACTTTGCCAGTGGTTCATTTCTGTACAGTGTGGGGGATGCTGAACATTTAAGCAAAGCTACAGTGTGCCGTGAAATCAGGAAGGTTTACATTGCATTAAAGTCCTTTTTAAATATATTCATTACCTTTCCTGGCCAAAAATACGGTACCTTTAACATAAGATTGCACCTGACTGGAAGGAACATCTGAGGATGTTCCTCCCTCAATAGGCCGTGCACGGTTCTGTGCAAGGGCCATCACCTCGGCTGGCAGGGGCGTTGCTAGAGATTTTGTCACTCAGGGGCCCTTGGAATCGTCCTAGCTTTCCTCCCCCTTACGGCGCCCCTGTCGGCTGGGGTACAGGCTGCTGGAGGTGGGCCCCCACCGGTTGCAGCAGCCGCAGCTCTCTCTTTGGTGGCTAAATTATACAATGCAATGTGGGCTTTAAATGCATTCTTTAAAAATGTAGTTCTAACTAGATTTACTTTTTACCATTCTGAAGAATATTTTTGTATTTAATCTTCACTTGCTGCCTGGACCTTTTTGTTCCACTCATGTTGCTCCTGAAACCAAGCATTAATATTATTTTTTTATATAATTGCAATTATTAATAATTACACATATGTAAAAGGAAATATTATGACTATATATTTTGAAGGCTTGAAACTGTTCTCATTTAGTTGTTAAATATTTTTACATCCTTAACACAAAGGTTACTTAAATCATGTTCTTACGCATTTAACCTGTCAGCTATTTTCTGCCATGCAGCCTCACGAGATTTGATGATGCAGCTCGTGTTCCCCTTTCTGGTTATTATGTCTTTGTAGTCCTCATAGGCTTGCAGTAATAATTCTCACGCAGCTCTTTCCTTCCATTCTTACTTATCCAGCATTGATTAACAAGGCTGCTTTTTATATCGCGTGGATGCACACGAGCCTTGCTTGTCAAGCTTGGCTTGAATTAGTGGAAATTAAATAGCCTACACCTGAATTTTGTTTGTGGAACTCAATGAGCCTGAAGTGAACTGTTAGGCTAACTCAATAATCCTCGATTTTATAAGCTCACTTCCTGGAACAGCCCCCTGGTTGGTGAAGTAATATATGGTGGTAGTTTATTTTGAGCTTTTTTCATGTACATGTACAGCTTTCTGTTAATAAAAGTGCCTGTGTGACATTGGGGACATTTAGCTCTGACTTTTAACTGTCTTTCTTCATGAGAAAAACATTGAGATATGTATCATATAAATAATATCGAGGTACGATTTTTGGTTCATATCGCCCAGTCCTACTTTCTAAGTTGATAACAGGAGCTTTTGGTAAATGTGCCCTAGTTAAGGAGCAAAATATAAAGATATTTTGCAAATTGTTATATTATGCAAAGCAGTTGGGAGCGAGTGTTTGTGTTGCTTGGCTACAGTCAACAGTTGGCTAGTGGGAACTTTTTTTTCTTGTAGAGATCCATAAATGTTTAAATAAATTTGCAGTTATCCATGAAAGGAGGAGAAGTTTTTATCGTCTTTCCTCAGTGAAAACTCTCTTGCATCACAAAGTAAAAGGTTGTGGCTATTCAGACCGCTGTTAAGTTAGCCTCATATTCGATATTAAGTTTTCCAGCTTTAATAACTTTGTTATTAAACTTTGTTTCACAGCTATTAATACAGGGGTGGGCAATCTTATCCGCAAAGGGCTGGTCTGTATGCGGGTTTTCGCTGCAACTCCCTAATTAGATTACTAATTAGAGGACTGATTGGCTGAAGAGTCCTCACCTTTGAACAGCTGAGCTAAAGGTTATCCCAAAAACCTGCTTCGCACTCAAAAGTTCAACCTCCCAGGCCTAATAGTCTTATGTATAATCTAAACAGCACACATTTGTGATTTAACTTTTTGTTTTTCAATACATATTATTTTCATTCCCTGTACAGTAGATAGCAGTAAATTTATTTTTAGAAATTGCTAGTCAAGTAATTTTATAAAAATCGCTAAATATATATACATAAGAATACAAATATTAAACACATGACATGGACTAAAAAATAAATGAAATGTGGTATACATACATGTAACTTAAAATGGAGTGTAAAGAAAATAGAATAGGGATACTTTATTGATCCCTGTGGGGAAATTGTCTTTACACCTATCCTATTTTGCTTTTGACACATATGTATGTGAGAGCAAGCTTGAGGGGTCATACTGCAGGGTCAGCCAGCGTCCAGTGTCCCTGGAGCTGGGGGTTAAGGGCCTTAATGTGGGGCCCAAGGGCAGCATCAGCCTGCCAGCCTTGGAATTCGAGTCAGTCACTAGCACAAATCCTAACCCAGAGCACCCCAGACAACATATTATAATCAAGTGACTAATAGGGCCACCTTTGCCTTTAGGACAGTGTTAAAACTTCTACAATGCTGTCATCCACAGTCTGAAATGTGTGTAATTGGAAATTGGACCATATTTCAAGAAGTCTTTGAGTGATGAAGGAGGTGGAAATCTATTTTGCCCTCTGTGCCCCAGAACATTCCATAGCAGTTTAATAATATTTAGTTCCAGTGATTGGATTGGAAGGTATTTGGCTTCGTCCTGCTGCTAATGAAAACTCTCTTGAATTTTTTTGCAGTGTGTAGGGGAATTATCAACTTGGAATATGGAAACATCATGAGGGAGCAGTGTTTGCACCACAGGGTGCACGCAGTCCTCTAAAATTACCTCATCTTCCTTGGTTATTATACGACCACGCAGAGCCATCATTGGACGTAATGCCTCTCACGAGATGGCTGCCCATACCAACAGACATTGTAGGTTAAAGGCATCCATTGTCTTTTCCCAAAAATAAACCCTTCTAAAGGGACAAAGGGATAAAGGATGGCTTATTGTTACTTGTTTCCATTGCTCAGGGGCCCAGGCTTTGTGCACCTTACACTAGGTTAAGCATCTTTCTGTTTTAGCTTTAGATGCCAGTGGTCTCCAAATGACAGCCCTGCAGTAAATGTCAGCTATGTGAAGCCCAAAACAAACAGGTTCTTTTGAGACTGTGCCACAGATCTGCTGATTCCATTGTGAGGTCGTACTTTTCTGGTGTGTAGCAAATAACCCAGTGATTCTCAAACCGGTCCTAGGGGGACCGGTTTGACCGGTACAGGGATGCTATATATATGAAAAATCTATAGCTAGGATGTATGATATTATGTTCAGCAACTTACATATTTATCCAGACAAATTGACATTCAGGATGTGAAAATGTGTTTTTCAGGTACCATGATGCCCAGGATGTGACCAGCAACTTCCTGGGAGCCATGTGGCTCATCTCCATTACCTTCCTGTCCATTGGGTATGGTGACATGGTGCCGCACACCTACTGTGGGAAAGGCGTCTGCCTGCTGACTGGCATCATGGTAACCCTGCCGCTGGCACAGCATGCTTCATTCGCCCTGTTCATGTTGCTCATTCAGAGACAGAAAGGCAGTCTGTCTGGCTTCTGTCTTTAGATTGTCAGTGCATGTGTGGGTGAGTGAGAGTGTTTGATATGAGTGTGTGTGAGCTGATGTGTGCGTGTGCCTGAGTGTGTGTGAGTTGGTGTGCGTGCATGTGCATGAGTTTGTGTAAGCTGATGTGTGCATGTGCCTCAGAGTGTGTGAGTTGGTGTATGTGCATGAGTGTGTTTGAGTTGGTGTGTGCGTATGCACGAGTGTGTGTGAGCTGCTGTGTGTGTGTGCCTGAGTGTGTGAGCTGATGTGTGCGTGTGCCTGAGTGTGTGTGAGTTGGT